TTCAGGTTCTCACACTAAGGAGACAATATGATGTTTGCAAATGCAGATCTCATTCATTTCACTTAAGATTATGGTCTCTAGTTGCATCCATTTACTGACAAATGGCTCACATTTGTCCTGTTTTATAGCTGAATAATACTCCATTGTGTAAAAATACCACATCTTCTCTATCCATTCTTTAGTTGATGGGCATCTGTGTTGTTTCCAGGATTTAGGTATAACAAATTGCAGTGCTATAAACATGGGTGCACATATATTTCTGTGGTAGGAAGTTTTCAGTCCTTCTGGAAAAATACCCAGGAGGAGAAGAGCTGAGTTGAATGGGACCTCCAATCCTAGCTTTTGCAGAACCGGGGATTGAACTCAGACCCTTGTGCTTTCCAGGGAAGCATTTATTCCACTGAGCCATCTCCCCAGCCCAAATCCTAGCTTTTGAAAGAATCTCCACACTGATTTCCACAGTGGTTGTACTAGTGTGCACTCCCACCAACAATGCAGAAGGGTTCCTTTTACTTCACAGCCTCTCCAGCATTTGTAATTGGCTGACTTCTTGATGTTAGCCATTTTTTCTGAGGTGAGATGGAATCTCAGTGTTGTTTTAGTTTGCATTTCTTTTTTTTTTTAATTAATGCATTTGGTTGTTACAGGGTCTCACTATGTAGCTTAGGCTCATACTGATCCTTCTGTTTTCAGCCCTTCTAGTGCTGGGATTATAGGCCTATGCCATTACACCCAGACTCTATGGCTGGCTCAGTCCACCCTGGCGGGGAGGGCGGCTGGCATGGCATGTGGTGCTGAGGATTGAATCGTGGTCCCTGCACCTGCCTAAGCTTAACTAAGCAGGCACTTTAGTCCACTAAGCTATCTCACTGGCCCCTTGATTTGCATTTCTTGAATAACCAATGAAATTGAACATTTTTTCATATGTTTGCTTGTTATTTGTATTTCTTCCTCTGACAAACATATAGTCATCCTAGATGCCCATTTGTGGATTGGGTCTTTGAATTTGGGGGTCCTGATTATTTAAAAATTCATTGTAGGTTCTAGATAGAAAGCCTTTGTCTGAGGGACAGTCAGGTATAAGTTTTCCTAGTTTGTTGGTTTTCTTTTTACTCTGTTGGAGATTTGTTTTGAAGTACAGAAACTTTTAAAAAAGATGATGTCCCAGTTGTTGATTCTTTGAAGCATTTCCTGTGCATTTGGTTTTTGTTGATGAACTATCTACCTACCCCTAGGTCTTTAAGATTTCTACCTATATTTTCTTCCACAATATTTAATGTTTCTGTTTTTCTTTTTTCCTATTTTTAGGGAAGGGTCTACAGGGTGTTCAGGGTCTCACTACTAGATTGGACTCATAGTAATCTACCTGTTTATAGCCTCCAAGAGCTGAGATTACAGGTGCATGCCACCATGCCCAGACTCAATTGCTATCTCAGTATGCCTCAGGGGTGGGGCTGGCACAGCAGGCCTGGGGATCAAAGCCCTGGCCCCTGAGACTGCTTGTGGGTGCTTTAATCTGCTGAGCTATTTGGCTGGCCCTTAGTGTTTCTGTTTTAATGTTTAAATCTTTGATCCATTTTAACTGTAGTTTTGTGCATGGTGATAGGCATGTGCTTAGTTTTATCCTTAGGCATGTGGAAAGCCAGTTTTTACAAAACATTTATTAAACAGGCTGTCTTTCTTCCAGTGAAACTGTTTGGCCCTTTTATCAAAGATAAGGTGGCTGAGTGTGTTTGCAGTTGTGTCTGCATCTTTTAATTTACTCCACTGATCCTCAGGTCTGTATGCCAGTACCATGTTGAATTTGTCATAGTAGTTTTCTAGTATAATTTCAGGTCAGGGCTTATGGTACCTCCTCCTTTCCTTTGTTTCCAAGGATTGCTTTTGATATTCTGGTTCTCTTTTGGTTCCAAATGAAGTTGAGGAAAGTTTTCTCTAGCTCTGTGAGGCATACTAATGGTATTTTAATTGGGATTGCATTGAATCTGTCTAGTAATTTTGGGAGTATGGTCATTTTCACAGTGTATAATGATTTACTTTTTTTTTGTTATTCCTGTTAGGAAGCAATAATCAGAGAACCACTGTGTGTAAACCAGAAATTAGCCAAAAATCAAGTGCATTGACAACATTTTTTGTGGGTATGGACAAAGGGAAGCGTGCTGTCTCATGAAACTGTAGATGAGTGTACATGTTAGGCTAGCAGTTTTTGAAGACATTTTGATAGTAGCTATGGAAATTAATTTCAGTATTAAGTTTTCCTCCTACAGAAATACCTCTTATCCAAAAGGATATATATATATATATATATATATATATATATATATATATACTTCATGTAGCATTCTTTGTAAGAATGAAATGGGAGGGGGGCTTGTGGGTTAGCTCAGTTGTTTAAAGCAGCTGCTTGGGCAAACTTAGACGGGTACAGGGGACTGTGGTTCTATCCCCAGCTCCACATACTCCACATACCCCTTTGGCAGCCTGCACCAGCCAAAAAAAAAAAATAAAAAAAAAAATAAAGAAATCCCTTTCAAGAATGAAACAGGAGAAAAATAAAAATACCTTTTAGGGAAATTATTGAATAAATTATAATCTATTCAAACTATCACATATAATAGGTAAAATATGAAGTAGCATATGCGTCTAACTGTGGAAATTATGACATGTTAAGGTAATATTTGTGGCTATGTAGTTGCTTATAGTATGACCCAAATTTCATTGTTTACATGTTTTGAGGTTAACACTGGTATGAAAATACATAATTGATATTGTTTTATTTGAATTTTGTACATTTTTTAATTTCATTGATTGAAAGAATGCAAGCAATGGAATTGATAATGATTGAAATCAGGCATACATCTCTACATGAAATTGCTATTAATTTCTGACTGGCCTAAATCTTCATAATTTCTTTAGGCACATCTTTGAATTTTGTGTGCCTTGATATATGATAGGTTAACTTCTTCCTGTGGCCATTTAGTAATGAGAATTATGTTTAGTGGCTAGATTCCTTTAAAAATAAAGCTGTCTGGATTCTCAGGTCATCTGGCCTACCATGAACCCATACTTTACTATGGTCAATTATAGCATAGGTGAAGGAGATAACCTAGAAAGCTGAAATGCACTGTATGAATGAATACTCCACAGACTTTTTTCAATACTGACAGTCAATCACTAGATGAGATGCCCATGCCCAGTTTACTGCCAATTTGTTCTTTCACTGCTGTCCTTTCTGAGAGACAGAAGGATTTCCCCCAAAACTGAAATGGATTCACACAAATAGATTTTACACATGCAGTCCCACTATCAAAATATAGAAAGCAGTTCCACTATCAAAATTACAGGATGCAGTTAAGGGGACCTTGAGAAAAGCACAGTCCCATATATAGTAATAGACGTCTAATAATTTCCCATTCATCTGTCAATTATTTTCACAAGATTATCTTTAATGAGACTGGGGAGATAGCTCAATAGAATAAGCGCTTGCCTGGTGAGCACAGGGTCCTGAGTTCAGTCTCTGGTATTGCAAAACAAACAAGCAAACAAGCAAGCAAACAAACAACAAGAAAAGATTAGCATTAAAAATATAACCAAATACACATATAACCTTAAACCCCAAACAAAAATTTGGTCTTTGCTTATTTCAGATGATAAGATGTCTCAAGAATGACCAAAGGTGGGAGGTAATCTCCCCAGAGCCACTTATTCAACCATCCCATCTGTAATTCTTCATTTCTTGAACTACCTTCTTTTACAAAGAGGTAAATATGCTGAGATCAGTCTGAGAGAATTTCTGAGAAGACTGGCTTGGATTTTTGGGTCTGCTTCAGTTGGTCCAAGATGAAATGGCTTGTATGGATGAATCATTCAACACAGTTCACAAAACAGGCCCCAGCCCAACTGTCCAACTTTGGCCGGGGCTTGTCCATGAACTTTTCCCAACAGGTCATCTGGTGCACCAGCTGCTGGAAGTGCTGCATCTGAGTCTCCACCTTGATGAAATGCTGCAACTGTGAGTCCACTGTACCCATACCCACTGCAGAGGACAGGGAAGAGGAATCCATCCCAGCTCAACCATGTCACGTTCACCAAGACAGATTCAGCACCTTCAGAAATGATCTTCTTCTCCTTCTCCTTCTCCTTCTCCTTCTCCTTCTCCTTCTCCTTCTCCTTCTCCTTCTCCTTCTCCTTCTCCTTCTCCTTCTCCTTCTCCTTCTCCTTCTCCTTCTCCTTCTCCTTCTCCTTCTCCTTCTCTTTCTCCTTTTTTTGTATTTAGGACAATGTGTACAGGGACTCATAGTGATCCACCTGTTTACAGCCTCCCAAGTGCTGGGATTACAGGCATGCGCTACCACGCCCAGTCTCAATTGCTGTCTCAGCGAGGCCCTGGACTGCGGCCGGCACACAGGCCTGGGGATTGAACTCCTGGCCCCTGCGTCTGCCTAAGCAGGTGCTTTAATCTGCTGAGCTATTTGACCAGCCCTCAGAAATGACATTCTTTAATGTTGTGTGTCACCCACTTGACAGTGTTTTTTTTTTTTTATGGAGAGAAGAGAAGAACTGAGGGCAAATAAATCTTTACCTTATATGAGAATTATAAATTAGAAGGAAAATAACTTTCAAAGTTTTTTTAACCAACAAATATAATGAACTAAGAAACATCTGCCCTTCCTCCACTCCCCTCCCCTTTTCCTTGCTGTTCTCCTCCTCTCCCTCCTCCCCCTCATGTCCTCCTCTTCCTTTCCTTGCTAAGAATATAACCCATAGCCTCATGCATGAGCAGCATGGGCTCTCTCATTGAGCTACATCATTGTCTCTTCATATTTATATTGTGATAAGAACATTAAACATGAGATTTACTCTTTCGATGGATTTTAAAATGTACAATGTTGTAGATAAGATGTTCAGGTCTTACTCATTTTTTATAACTGAATTTTTTTATTTTTTAATTTTTTTAGTTCTCCAAAGACCTTTACTGGACTCTTTCTAGAATTTCCATTGTGCTGCCACCTCTTCAGTGCCTCAGCTTGAACGCAGCAGGACGTGTTCACCACAGTCAGCACTCTTCTCCAGTGGTCACTTCTCCAGGGGTGCATAGTTGAGGAGCGTTTCAATCAGGTCCACGTGTCCTAGCAGCATTTGGTGGCAGCAATAGCGTTTCAGACCCAGTGCGTCCAGGGCACCCCCCTCACTGTACTCGGCCTGCAGCAGTCCCAGGCAGGCTTCCCACTTGTTGCCGACAATCTTCCCACAGGTAAAACACCGAACAGGGATGATCAAGGCGACGACTGGCTTGGCGGTGTCTCAGGATCTGCTCCGGGCGCCCCCACTTGGCGGGGACCAGGTCAGGCCCAACGCCATCTTCGCTGCCGCGGCCCCCGCCCCAGCCTCTGTCACTGTTGCCCTCTGGCCTCGCTGCGATGAGTCTACCCCACGAACAGCAGCGGTTTCCGGGGCCCGCACCTATAATTGAATTTTTATACATGTTGATTAGCAACAATTGTTTTCCGCTCACTCTAACAGCTAAAAACTATGACTATCCTTGCTCCTACGTGTCTGTTTTAGACACCTTATAGAAATGGAATCATGTGATATTTGCCTTTCTGTGAGATTCAGCACAATGTGCTAAAGGTTCATCTATGCTGTAGTATGTTTCAGGATATGCTTCTTCTGAAAGTCTAAACAGTCTTTCTTTTCTTCTTTTTCTCTCTTTCTTTTCTTTTCTTTTCTTTTGCTTTCTTTTCTTTTCTTTTTTTTCTTTTCTTTTCTTTTCTTTTCTTTTCTTTTCTTTTCTTTTCTTTTCTTTTCTTTTCTTTTCTTCTTTTGGTGGAACCAGAGATTGAACTCAGGCCCTTGAGCTTGCCAGGGAAGCACTTATTCTATTGAGCCATCTCTCCAGCCCCACAGTCTTTCATTATAAGTAAGTAGCACATTTCCTTTACCATTCCATCCATCAGTGGACATTGAAGCTGTTTCCATTTCTTGGCTGTTGTTAATAGTGCTAAAACAAACAAACAAAAAATTAAAATTCTGATTTCAAATTCTTTTGGGTAAACATTCAGAAGGGACATTTTATGGGTCATATGATGGATACAATATTAATTTTTTGAGTTACCTCTATACTCTTTCTTATAATGGCTACATCATTTGCTTTTGGACCTATAGTATACAAGGTGCCCAGTTTTTCCACATCCCAGACAGCATGTATTGTTTCTTGCTGTTGTGGTCATAGGCATCTTAATATGTATGAGGTAATGTATAACCTGAGTTTTAATTTCTATTCCATTGATGCTTACTTATGTCAAGCATCTTTTCATATGCTTGGTGACAAATTTTGTGTTTCTCCTGGTACATTTTCTTAGCCTATTTTCTTTTACTTTTTGTGGAACTGTGGCTTCCAGCCAGGATTTTTCAGTTCTTTATAAATTCTATCTATTAGTCCTTTATCTGCAAAAGAGCTGACAAAAATTTCCAACACTGTATTGTCTCTTCACTTCGTTGGTGGTATCTCTTATTCTGCAAAAGCATTTTAATAAGATGAGATTGCAGTTGATTCTTTGTTATAGTTCCTGTGCAGTTGGAATTTTGTTCCTCAGTTCTTTTCCTACACCAATACCTTTAAGAGTTCTGCCTATTCTTTCTTCTATACAATTAAGTGTTTCAGTTTTAATAGTTAGATCTTTGAACCATTTCAATTTTAGTTTACTGCATGGTGAAAGAAATGGGTCTAATTTTGATCTTTGGTTTGTGAAAAGCCAGTTTTTCCAGAATCACTTATAAAAGAGGCTATCTTTCATCCAGTGAAGGTATTTGCCTCTTTTGTCAAGGTGCTTGAGCGTGTTTGAAGTTACTTCTGCAACCTCTAATCTGTTCTACTGGTGCTTGGGTCTGTTTTCTTGCCAATACCATGCTGATTTTATTACAGTAGCTTTGTAGTACAATTTCCATCTAGGAATTGTGGTGCTCCCTGCCTTGCCTTTATTGCCTAGACTTGCCTTTGGTATCCTAGGTCTCTCCTCGTTCCAAATGAATTTTAGGAAAGTTTTCTCTAACTCTGTGAGATACCTGCTGAAATTATGATTGGAATTGCATTAAATCTGTATAACAATTTTGGAATTGTGATCATTTTCATTATATTGGTTCTTCTTATCCAAGAAAAAGGGATAAGTTTCCATTTTGTGATATCTTCCTAAATTTTAGTGTATCATGGGTTTCCATGTAACTGTCTTTTACTTCCTTTGTTAGGCTGATTCCTATGTATTTAATTTTTTTGGATGCTATTGTGAAAGCTATTGCTTCCTTAATTTCTCTCTCAATAAGTTTTCTGTTTTATGTATAGGAAGGCTATAGATTTTGTGCATTGATTTTGTATCCAGCTACCCTGCTGAATTTGATCATTAAACCTAGAAGTCTTTTGGTGAAGTTTTTGGGGTCTTCTATGGAGAATATCATGTCATCCAGAAATAATGATAATTTAACTCCTCCTTTTCCTATCCTTATTTCTTTTACTTTAAAAAAATTACTCTGACTAAGGTTTCCAGAAATATATTGAATGAGAGTAGTGTTCATCCTTGTCTTGCTTCTGATTTTAAAGCAAAAACTTTCAGACCTTGCTCATTTAGTATGATGTTGGCTGTTGTTTTGTTATAAATGGATTTTATCATGTTAAGATAAAGACCATCTATTTCAATTTTTTTGTAGGTTTTCTTTTATCATGAATGGTGTTTAACTTTGTCAAGTGCTTTTTCTGAGTCTATTCAGGTTATCATATGTTTATTCTCCTTGTTAATATGATGTATGGCACTTATTGATTTGCATATGTGAATCGTCCCTGCATCCTGGGGATAAATCCTAGTTGGTTATGATGATAATGTTTGTGATAGTTTGCTGCATTGTGGTTGACCGTATCTTACTGAGGATTTGTGTTGTGTTTATCAAGATTGGCCTGTAGTTCTCTTTTGTGGTTGGATCCTTCTCTAGTTTTGGTAGCAGGGTAGTGGTTGCTTCTGGGAATGAATTTTGGAATATTGCTTTGCTTTCAATTTCATTAAACTTTGAGAAGTAGAGGCATTAGGTCCTCTATAAATTTCTTGTACAATTCAGCAGTGACTGTCAGGACTTGGCTTTCTTCTTCTTCTTTTTTTTTTTGGTATGTTTTTAATTGCATATTCAATTTCATTGATTGATATTGGTTCATTTAAACTTTTTATATTTTCTTGAGTCAGCTTTGATAATTCATATGTATCTAGGAATGTGTGCATTTTTTTCTGTTTTTTTTTTTATTAGAATATAGCTTCTCAAAGTAGATGCCTATGATCTCTGCAGGATTTGTTAATTTTTACCCTTTTCATTCCTAATTGTTTGGATTTGAGTCTTTTTTTTTGACAAGGCTAAGTATTAATCTATTTTATTTAATATTTTAAAGTTCCAACTCTTTAATTCATTGGCTCTTTTTATTATTTTCTTTTTTATATTATTTTTTGGCCTTCATTGCATTAATTTATGCTCTGATCTTTATAATTTTCTACTATTTATGAGCTTTGGCCTTGGCTTGCTCTTTTTCTAGACGCATAAGGTTCAATGTAATGTGGTTTATTTGAGCTTTCTCTTTTTCTCATATGGGAATTCACTACTGTAAATTTACCTTGTAGGACTGCTTTCATTGTTTCCCATCAGCTCCAGTGTTTTGTACTGTCATTATTATGTAATTGTAGAAATGGTCTGAGTTCCTCTTTAACTTGGACTGTGATCCAATGGTTGTTCAAGAGGATGTTAGTTAGGGATGGTCAAATAGTTCAGGGGATTCAAGCGCCTGTGTACGCAGACATGGGGAGGGGTTTGATCCTGGCCTGCAGTGCCGGCCCCACCCCCGGGGCACACTGAGCCAGAGATTGAGACTGGGTGTGGTGGCACATGCCTGTAATCCCAGCTGTTGGGAGGTTGAACACAGGAGAATCACTCTAAGTCCAATCTATGTAGTGAGACCCTGTACACCCTTACTAAAATAAAAAAGGGGTGTTATTTAATTTCTAAGTGTCTATAAAGTTTTTCTAGTTTCTTTTTCCATTGATTTCTAATTTCATTGTACTATGGTATAATGATATGAATGGTATAATTTGAATTCCTTTGTGTTTGCTTAAGTATAGTCTATAAGTTATTATGTGGTCTGTTTTGGAGACTGTCTTATTACAGTTGAGAAAAATTTGTATTTTGATATTCTGGGGTGTAGATGTAGATATCTACTAAGTCCTTTTGTCCAAAAGTTTAATTTGGTTTTGATATTTCTTCGTTGATTTTTTTAATCCAGTTGATCTGTCTATTTGTGAGAGTGGGGTATTGAGGTCCCCATTACACTTGTGTACTGGTTGATGATACATTGTGTTAACTTGAGAAGATTAAAAGTTTAAGTGACACAGTAGGGAGCCAGAGTTCTTACTTTGTAAGCATCCTTATCTTATGGGAAAGGAGAGCATGGACATTGTGTGAGTTCTACACCCCCTCCCCAGGGTGACCTGCTTATAATGTGTGGAGGGGAGAGAGGCTTGCTAGAAGCTCTAGCTGCTGCTCCTCCTTTGCTCTTTGCTGTTTTCTGCCACCAAGAATGGCTGCTCTCTCTTTTTAAAAAAATGTATTTTAAATTTTTATTTAAGTATTTTTATTTTATTTATTTATTTTTCTTAGTTTTTCCAAAGCATTTAAAATTTTTTTAATTCATTTTAATGGGAAAAAAATAGCAATGAAACAGTTTCAAAACAGGTTAGTAGGACAGTTACAATAATTAATATATTGCATATTGTTTTCATAGTAATTATTCAGAGGACAGGATGCAGACATGATATCTTGTCTAAACAATATTAGTATAAACCTTTCTTCTCATTGAACTGGGAGAAAGTAGCTGTATATCTATCCTAACCATTTTGTGTATATATATATTATTTTCACTACAAAATGGTCCTTTATGTATATCCCCCTTTTTTGTTTTGTTTTCTCAGAATGGGTGTTCCATTTCTGTTAGAGAAGCTATATTTGGAGAAGTCCTTAAAGGACCTTTACATACTTGATGCAAATTCAAATGTTGTGAGTACTTGAATTTATGAAAATAACCCAATATAGTTCAATAGTCCATCATAGTAGTGGTTTATCAGCAGAACTGGCAATTGTCCAAAGTTTTTGACTTGAGCCTTTTACAGCTCAGCAAATTAATATGGCATTACTTTTTACACCTTGTGGTTATATTTTTCTGCTGGATGGTTAAGACCAAGTTAAAGCAAGACCTATATAATAAGAAATGTAACTTTTGTATCTACCAAGGTCAGTCAGATCCCCTCAGGATTTACCCTGAAACCATGTACATAATATCTTGTAGATCTTGTGTCAGTGTCAGCCATCTGGATGAGTCGTGGCCATTGCTTGACCAAAACCTCCTCTCTACGAAAGCCTGAGAGAATTTTTTCTCTTTAGGTGACTCTCCTTAGGCACACTATACATCATCAATCACTTTCCTCTGTTGCCCCATAATCTCCTTGATCAGAAAATTTGGGACATCACTGAGTTTCAGGATGTCACAATATAGGTTCTCTTATCTCCTGAGTCCTCACTGACCTTGAAGGACTAGGGCCAAAATATTGGCTATTCTTATAGAATGGCTGCTGTCTTCCATGTTCCATTCTGCCTTGGAGCCAGTTGAGCATGGACTGAAACCTCCACTAACTGAGCTAAATAAAACTTTCCTTCCTTAATTTTGGGTGTCAGGTATTTTGTCCCAGCAATGCGTGAAAAGTAATTGAGATAAGTTGTATTAGTGCTTACTTAATTGTGCATGTCTGTTAATATTTGTGTTGGCTGTGTTGGTATTTGATGCATATGTATTTATGAGTTTTATGCCTTCCTTTTAGATTGTTGCCTTTATAAGGATGTTATGGCCTTTTTCTCTCTTAATCAGTCAAGGCTTCAAATGCACTGTGTCTGCAAATAGAATAGCTAACCTTGTACTTTTCCAGAGTTCGCTCTCTCTCTCTCTCCCCCCATATGTATGCATAAATTTATATATAAATATTCAAAGTGTATACATTTATACAAAAAGTATACAAAGACTAATAAATATTAGTTTAATTCCTGTGTTCATGCTAATAAAGCAATAGACAAACAGCTCTATTGCTAGTATTTATAATTTTTAGGAAATGATTACTTCTCAGAGGTGTCTTTCAGGTGTAGTTGGCTTTTGAGTTTTGAATCTGTTGCAAGATCCTACCTCTTCAATTTATTGGGATGAGAAATTGCTGTCTGTTTGGCTTAACCTCTTGTTCTATTTCAGTGGCCTATAGTATTGTTATGACTTTCAGGCAATCTAATTTTTGGAATGCCAGGAAGAACAAATTATTAGAACAATTATGTCACCCAGGTTAAAGTAGCATAATCAGCAATAACAATAGCATCAAACACAATTTAGAGAATTACATACAATCTCCCAGGCCCCTATGGTAACAGTGTTCCAGCTTTAAGCATATGAACTAGATTTGTGGTCAGGTAACAAAATATAAAACAAACCAGGAAAATTGTGTATAGTAAATATGTTCTTAGTATGGCAATTTTACCCTCAGGGAGAAAACTTTAAATGGGGTTAAGAGAAATAGAAAAATGGAAGCAGAAGAAGAGATTAGGAGTAAGACTGCAGGACGGAAGAGGACTACATGAACTTTGGACAACTGATGAAGAAGGCAAGAGGGAAAGGGAGAAGGAAGAAGTAGAACAAGAGCAGAACAGAAGGGTAATAATAAACTGGAAACAATGTTCACACTCATATTGTTTGTTCACAAGAATAAACAACAAAGAAAAAAAGCAAACAAAAAATAGAAAAAAGAAACAAAAAGAACTACTTAGGCAGAATGCAGGGGCCAGGGTTTGATCCCTAATATCACAAACTGTTCCTGTCCTGCACCCAGTGTGCTCTGAGACAGCGATTGAGACTGGAAATGGTGGTGCTCCACTATAACCCCAGCGCTTGGGAGGCTGAATACAGGAGAATCACTATGAGTCCAATCTGCATAGTGAGACCCTGTACTAGAAAATACATAAACTGGGGGATGTACAAACCCAAATAACTCATTAGCCATGGCAATTTACTGCATCAACTGCTCTGTTGACTGATGTATTTCTCCATGGAGGCCTCTGGGGTCGCCAGGAGTCACTGTGTGTCTGTAGGTTCTGGTTGCCGCTCACACACAGTGATTCAGGGCTTAAGGAGAAAGTACCACATGTCATCTCCTTTTTCTGCATGTTGTCTCTCTCTTCACTCTCCCCATGGTCTTTAATTTTCACTTGAGCTCCTTGCTGGGTCCCTGGGCCCACTTACCTCTTTTTTCTTTTCCTCATGTTGCTGTATTCCAGCGTCCGAATATCTGATCTCAGAGAGGCTGTTTTTCTACTCTTTACCACCTCTTTATCTTCCCAGAAGTCCTTTTGAAGGCAAGATCTTGGCACTAAGTGCCAGTTTATTTGTTTTGAGGTAGGATATCCTTAAGATATTGAATTGCCCAATCTTACTGCCTCAGCTTCCCAGAGTACTGGGATTTCAGGCATGCACCATGAGACCAAGCCTCTAGCTTATTTTTAAATTGGGCAATTAGTTCTTTTCCTATTGATTTAAAAGAGTTTCTTAAATATTTTGAAAATGAAAATTTTGTTAGATATGTGGCTGACAAAAATTTATAGGCTTCTACATGATACCATTTCTTCTATTTTTCTGCTTTGTGATGTGGCTGTTATGGTTCATGCGTAGTTGCCTCTCCAAAGCCTCATGCTGTCACTGAAGCACAGTTCTACTGTTTGATTAATTCATGATCCAAGGCTGGGATTATGGGTCTGAGTACTGCTGAGATTATAGGTGTGATGCTACACCCAGCCTGGGGTGCATAGCCTGAATGTAACATAAGAGGGACAGAAACACTCCTGCTCTCTGTAGCCATTGCTGTTGGTACCTTTTCCTCCTTGCTGATGCCATGAACTGCTGCTCTCTGCCATGTGCCGCTCTACCTTGGAGCCAACTGAGTATGGACTAGCACCTCCGGTAACTGAGCTAAATAAACCTTTCCTTCCTTCATTTTGGGTGTTGGGTATTTGTCTCAGCAATGAGAAAAGCATAACTGAGACAGCAGCTTTTAAATTTTGTGTTTTCACTCAACTATTCTTGCTTTCTGTTGTTTGTGTCTTTGGGTCATATCCTCAAAATCATTGTCCAGATCACCAATAAGAAGTTTTCTTCGAATCCGGATATGGAACTTCAGACCTACAATTTCAGCACTAAGGAGGCTGGGGCAGGAGGGTTGTCTCAAGTTCGAGAGCCTAGGCTACAATGTGAGCTGAAAACCAGCTTGAAATGCATAGTGAGACCCTGTGTTAAAACAAAAACAGGAAAAGGGAAAAAAGAGAAGAAATTTTCTTCATACGTGTTCTAAAAGTTCTGCAGTATCATGTATAAATCATTAATTTATTTTGAGTTTTTTTTTGTAAATGGTATATGATCAACATCAAATTTTAGGCTTTTGCAGAAGGATATCCAATTTGCCATCTAACAAAATGTAGGTGAAGTATTATTTTCCCATTGCATATTACGTGCACTTTTGTTGAAGATAAGTTGTCTATGTATGTACAAATTTATTTTTGTTATCCCTATTCTGTTCAGTTAGCTCATATGTCTGTCTTTGTGCCAGTTCCACATTACTTTATTTTGAAATCATCAAACTGAATGTGATGCTTATTAACTTTCTGTATTTTTTAGAATTTTGACTATAAATTTTAGAGTTGCCTTTTCTATTTCTGTAAGAAATACTGTTGCAATTTTGATAGAAATAGCATTGATTTTGCAGGTAGCTTTTGTACCTACCTCTCATTTAAATTGTGTGGCTTCAGAATATTTGCTACCACTATAATGCGTCTGCTGAACATTACAAATTTCCTAGTCTAAAAAACACTTCTTTTTCTCCATAATTTTATTGAGAAACAAATAGCAATGAGACAGTTTCAAACCAAATTGGTAAGACAGTTTCAGTAATTAACACATTGTACACATTCTTCCTAGTGGTTAATTGCTGTACAAGATGCAGACATGATATCCTATTTACAAACACCATTACAACAAATCCCTCTATTCATATGTAAGAGAATGTAACTATATGTCTATCCTAACCACTTTGAATACACAGATACAAAATGGACATTCATCTGTATCCCCTTTTTTGTTAAGTTCCATTATTTGAATATCATAGGTGTGTAAACTCAGCAAAATATTATACAAGAGTCCAGTAGCCCATAATAGTATTGGGTCTTCCACTTGACTGGCAATGTCAGAAATTGTTGACCTGAGTCCCCTACAACTCAACATAACAGCATGGCTTAACTTCCCATATTTCATTTTTATACTTTTCTGCTGGATGGTTAAGACCAAAGTAAAGCAGGACCTATCCAACAAGAGTTGTAGTTTTTGGGTCTGATAAGGTCAGTGCAATCCCCTCAGGATTTATCCTGAGGTCCTATACCTCAGATGGTTGAACCTTTGTCAGTGTTAACCATGTGGATGAGTC